ACCCCACACATACACTCACACACACCACCCAGACACACATGCACAGACCCCGCACATACACTCACACACACACCACCCAGACACACATGCACACACCCCGCACATACATTCACACACACACACCACCCAGACACACACGCACAGACCCTGCACATACATTCACACACACACCACCCAGACACATGCACAGACCCCGCACATATTTCACACACACCACCCAGACACATGCACAGACCCTGCACATTCACACACACACACCACCCAAACACACACACATACACATTCTCCCCACACATACATGCACACACCCTGCACATACACATGTACCACACACACCACCCAGACACTCACATACACTCACATAACAGACACAGCACAGACACACTCATACACACGTTCACATTCACACATACCACACATACACTACACACTCTAGCTCACCCCCCACCAAGTGGCCCGGTGGCTCTGGTTCACTGAGGGGCGTCCACACCCCCCCCCCGGCTGTTCTCACGGAGAATATCTGGGTCACTCCTGGCAGGCTGGGCCTGCAAGTCCTCAGGGAGCCCTGGCTCCGTCTGGGATTTCCGGGCTCCCCTCTCCCAGCTCCTGTCCCATTCACTTTGGCCTGTGTTCCCTGGTGTGAGTTCCGGGTTTGCAGACAGATGGGCCTGGCCTGTTCCACAGGGGTGGGGGCTCCACCCCTGGGCCCACCAGAAGTGAAGCCCTACCCTGCCTGCGGCCGCTTTCCCGGGTCCGAGCCCCACGCCCACGCCCTCCTGCTAGGGCGGGGTGGTGACTCAGAGGCCTCAGTGAGTCAATGGCTGAACCCTGGAGCCCGGGCGGCCTCGGCCCCGACACCACCACACCCCCGCCGGCCATCTCTGTCCACTGCCTCTGTCCCCCGTCCCCACTGCTGTCTCCTCCGACGGCCCGCCTTTGCCAGCCCGGCCTACCTCGGGCGACCTCGGCGAAGCCCTCGGACTCGGCTGCCCCATTGTGGTTGTGCTTCGGCTGCTGGCCCAGCTGCAGGAGGCGGGCTCGGACCTGCTCCTGGACTCGGGCTGCCCTCAGCCGCTCCACCTCAGGCCCCTCAGCACCCCGGCGGTCCAGCTGCAGGTCGGAGGGCAGGGCCAGGGAACACACACCGGCCTCGGGCTGCAGGGCAGACAGCAGGAAGTTACTATCCTGCATGGTGGCAGGCGCACCTGGCTGGCCTGCTTGGCCCCTTCCCGGTCCTGTCCCTTGAGGCCCTGTCCCAGAAGTCCCCTCCCTGCTGGCGCTCAGAGCTGGCCTGGAGACAGACGCTGGCCCGCCCAGCCCAGAGCTCTTCTGGGGGCGGGGACACCTGGGCCAGGTGGGAGGGACGGGCCTCTGCCTGCTTAAGGTGGAATTTGGGCGGAAGAACAGGCCCTGTGCTCCCCGGGCCAAGCCAGGACTGGACCCCAGGGGTCCGGGCCCTATCAGTTCTCAGATTAAAAAAGCCAGACCAGGGCTGGTGGAGTCGGTGTGGTAAGGAGCTGCTGGGGTCCTCCAACACCCTAGCCCGGTGGCATCCAGGAATGGTTACCGGCTGAATCCAGAGCTCAGGGCCCGGGCAGAGTTTGGAGGAGGGTGGGAGGGTTGGAAGCTTGGTCTGGTCCTCGGAAGGGCCCCGGCTCCCTCCCTGGCACCTCTCCCTGGCTCAGCGAGGCCTGGGGTGGGAGGCCCGTTCCCAACACATGAGTCAGGGCGGGCAGGCCAGGCGCCCCAGGGGGTTGACTCAGGGGACAGGGCTCATGTTGGCACCTGCTGGGCAGGGGGGGCAGGAGGGAGGGTGTGCTGAGGGCTGGGGTGGGGGCAGGGGCGGAAGGAGAGGTGGGAAGGCTGCAGGGGGCATCGAGCTTGGTCCTAGGAGCTTCCAGACATTGCAGTTTGGGGGACGGCATATTCTGAGGAGCTCTGGGTCAGGCCTGGTATCCAGCACAGTTGCTTGGTAGACGGAGCGGAGCGGGAGCTGGTGTTGTCTGAACCTGCCCCCGTGCTGCCATCCCCACCCCTCCGCCTCTTTCTAGACTGGGCTCTGGGCTCTGAGGGCTCTCTCCCATGGCGGGCCTGTGTCCCAGTCCTGGTGTCCTGGAGACGGTTGTCTTAAGGTTGAATGGCTGAGGGCAGGGGCCTGGGGTGTGATGAAACTCAGAGTGAGGGTCATGTGGCCAGCCAGGAGGAGGGGGCTGGAGGGTGGGCAGCCAGGAGGAGGGGGGACTGGAGGAGAGTCAGTAAGAGGGGGGCTGGAGGGGGGGTTAGGAAGAGGGGGGGGTGGGGGGGGAGTCAGGAGGAGGGGGGGCTGGAGGGGGTCAGCAGCTCAGTGGGGGTTAGCAGAGAGGCACCTGGAAAGGTGGGTCGGCCCCTGGGAGGGTGGGGGCGGGCTGGGTGCCCTACCTGGCTGATTCTCCGGATCCTGCCAGACTCCCGGTGCGTCCCTGGGGCCGCGGCCACTGGCCGAGGAATCCGGGGTTCCATCCTGGGCCTGGCTCTTGTGGGCAGCCTCTGCCTGGAGACACTCTGTGGGGGCACCGGAGGGCGGGGTGCGCACGCCGCACACCCAGCTCATCAGACCGGTTGCTTCCTTGGGAGACGTGTTTTGTGTGGAAAAATCCCGGGAGACAAGTTTGTGCGGCGCCGATGGGCCTAGAGGCGTACGCCTGGCGCGGTTGGGGCCCGCCCTGCCCGAGCCCCGGGAAGCCGGGCCAGGCTGAGGGGCCGAGGCCCGCAGGAGGGCCCAGGCACAAGGCCACAGCACGTGGGGCGGGGGGCCAAGAGACACGGCACCCGGGAAACTGCTGTCATGCGGGGCTTCCCCCAGCTGCTGTCTGGCTAGAAAGGCCTGTGATATTGCCGGGCTGGTTCCCGAGGCTCTCGGCTCGGGGCTGGGGTCTGCATCAGACTCCAGGGCCCTCTCCCAGGAGCTGCTGTGAGCCGGGGAACACAGCTGAGAGGCAAACCCAGCCTAGCCTCTGGCCGGGGCTTAGAAAACCGGAGGTGGGCTGAGTCCTGCACACCCTCATCCCGGAGCCGGGGGCCCACACCGTGAGTGCACCGGGCTCCCAGGGCACCCTGCGGTGGTGGTCACCTGGCAGAGAGGAGTTGGGTGTGGGGATCACTGAGGCTGGGCAAGGACTGCGACTGGGGGATGAGACCACTCCCTTGGCTAGGGAGAGGGAAGGCTCTGCCCGTGCTTGTGTGTGTGTGCGTGTGCACGCGTGTGCACGCATGCCCGTGTGTGTGGTGTGTGTTGGAGGGCGAGGCACAGAGGGCAAGCCTTTGGGTCTGGAAGGTCAGGAGCCCAGGAAGGGTATGGGACAGGAGGTGAGCCAGGAGTATATTGAGATGCAGAAAGCCGGGGATCTGGGGAAGGGGGAGGATGTGAATGCCAAGTAATTTTCTTCTTTTTTTTTTGTTGTTGGTTGTGGGACTTGAACTTGGGGCCTGGGCGCTGTCCCTCAGCTCTTCAGCTCAAGGTGAGCGCTCTACCACTTGAGCCACAGCGACTTTTCTGGCTTTTTCTCCTTATGTGGTGCTGAGGAATCGAACCCAGGGCCCCATGCATGGGAGGCGAGTGCTCAACTGCTGAGCCACCTTCCCAGCCCCTGCCGAGTAATTTTCAGAAACACAACGTACAAAGCATGGGGGCCACTGAGGTGAAGGGCTCATCTCTGGTCACGCAGCCACGAGGCTGAAGGCCCCAGAAGCGTGCAGCCCAGTGCTGGGCAAGTCCAGTGGACGGAGCTCCGCAGAGCCCAGCCCAAGGCCCCCACTCAGCGCTGCCCTGCGGCTCTTGTCCCATTGTCTGTGGCTTTTCTTCCCTGATCCTGGGCCTACAGGTGCTCGGCCCGGCCTTTGTGGCCTCCCTGGTAGCTGAGGGCGTGGTACTGTTGTCGGTCCCCTGCCTATCGGCCCCTCTGGGGGTCCACACGGGCCGGTGGGGACTTCACGGGCCCCTCCTGTGTGCACTGGGCATGCTCTGGACGAGGTGTGTGTGACAGGCTTTGGTGCAGCCCCCAGCCCCCCTGAGGGGGCCGAGAGAGCAAAGGGCTGGAGACTGGACAACCCTGCCCAGTGGAGAGGGCGGGGAGCTGGCGGGGGCCTGAAGGTTGTTTATTGATTTGGGGAGATGGTGGATTGGGCATCGGCCTCTCTGTGGGGAGTGGCAGGAGGTGGTGGCAGGGGCAGGGAGCAGCATGGCCGCGAGTTATCCCGGAGTGCAGGCCGATGCTGTCCCAACAAGAACATCTCTAGAGAGTCGATTTTGCAGCGGGGAAACGGAGGCTCCACATGGTTAAACAACTTCCATAAGTTTCAAAGTGAACTAGGGCACCTAGAGATGTTTCTGACCCTGCCTAGCAGCCCAGCGGGTGGGCTGGGAGTGGCGCTGGGGGGCCCTCAGAGCCCTCTTTCTAAGCCTGAGGCCCCTCCTGGGCCATCTCCCCTAAGTGCCAAGCCTTAGTCTTTCCTGATTTTGCTGAGCCAGTGACCTCATTTGCATGTGTTAGTCTTTTTTATTGGCCAGTCCTGGGGCTTGAACTCAGGACCTAGGCGCTGTCCCTGAGCTTCTTGTGCTCAAGGCTAGCGCTCTACCATTTGAGCTACAACAGCACTTCTGGCTTTTTTGTTTATGTGGCACTGCAGGATTGATCCTAGGGCCTCATGCATGCTAGGCAAGCACTCTACCACTAAGCCACATTCCCAGCTCCAGCTCCAGCTCCATCATTGGTTGTTTTTTGACATGGCATTATCTCAGATTCTGGCCTGCTTTTACTGTAGGAAACTTCTATTATTTTATGTGCTTTTTTTTTAATCGGTGGTGGGGCTTGAACTCTGGGCCTGGGCGCTATCCCTCAGCTCTTCAGCTCAAGGCGAGCGCTCTACCACTGGAGCCACAGCGCCACTTTTGGTTTTCTAGTGGTTTATTGGAGATAGGAGTCTCATGGACTTTTCCTGCCCAGGCTGGCTTTGAACTGCGATCCTCAGATCTCAGCTTCCTAAGTAGGTAGGGTGACAGGCGTGAGCCCCTGGTGCCCAGCTCTGTCTTCTCCATTGATGCTTTGTCGTCTGTCCACGGGTTCTTTGTATGCATGCTTTTCCATTTCATCTGCTGTGCTTTTGCTAGTCTGTCTCTGGTATCCCTCACTGGGTTCTCAAACAACAGTTTTTTTTTTTGTTGTTGGTCGTGGGGCTTGAACTCTGGGCCTGGGCGCTGTCCCTCAGCTCTTCAGCTCAAGGCGAGCGCTCTTGAGCTACAGCACCACTTCCGGTTTTCTGGTGGTTTATTGGAGATAGGAGTCTCACGGTCTCTCCTGCCCGGGCTGGCTTTGAACCGCGATCCTCAGATCTCAGCCTCCTGAGTAGCTAGGATTACAGGCGTGAGCCACCGGCGCCCGGCTTAGTTTTTTTTTTTTTTTTGAGATTGCTAAAGTAGCAAGATTTTTTTTCTATCTCACTTTGTTGTCAATAACTTAAAAATTATTTTTACTCATGTTTTGTGCCAGTACTGAGCTTGAACTCAGCGCTTTTCACTCTTGCTTGCTGGAGCCACACCTTCACTTCCAGCTTTTTTCTGGTTAAAGATCAGGGTACTTTGGAACTTCAATCCAACCTCAGCTTCTTGGGTGGCTGGGATTACAGGTGTGAGCTACTGGCACGTGTCTTGTCAGTAACTTTTATTTCCATTTCTCTCATCATAGATTTTAAAATTTTCCTCCAAATGGACATTGCCCCATCTTGTACATTCTTCTCCAGACCGCTCTGCTCACTGAATTCACCACTCTTTTTCTCTAGCTTTATTTTTCTCCATAGCACTTGGACTAGCTGACTGCAGACATTGTGTTCAGGTGTCTGTGGGGTGTACATCCTACCCAGGCCAGGATGGAGAACCCTGTGGGTTCTCATTAAACAACTCACTGTCATGGATTAGTAAGCCCTGGTGTGCATACTGTCCACATCACATAGAAGCTTCTCTGAAAGCCTCTGGCTGGCGAGGCAACGCTTCACCCAGTATCCGAGTGCTGTTCACCCTGTCCCCTTCCTCCACCTCTTCTTAAACAGGAGCTTTGTCTAATATTAAATCCAGGGCTGCTTTTCATACTTTGCAACATCCATGAGGGAGGGCGATTTTCCTGATAAGATTTTTCACATATGAAAAGACCATGTGGGCATCTGGGGGCTGTGTGTGATCTGTGGAGGTGTGGTGTCACTATCATGGTGGGCTGTGTGTGGTCTGTGGAGGTGTGGTGTCACTATCATGGTGGGCTGTGTGTGGTCTGTGGAGGTGTGGTGTCACTATCATGGTGGGCTGTGTGTGGTCTGTGGAGGTGTTCTGCACTATCATGGTGGGCTGTGTGTGGTCTGTGGAGGTGTGGTGTTCTGCACTATCATGTGGGCTGTGTGTGGTCTGTGTAGCTGTGGTGTCACTATCATGGTGGGCTGTGTGTGGTCTGTGGAGGTGTTCTGCACTATCATGGTGGGCTGTGTGTGATCTGTGGAGGTGTTCTGCACTATCATGGTGGGCTGTGTGTGATCTGTGGAGGTGTGGTGTCACTATCATGGTGGGCTGTGTGTGGTCTGTGGAGGTGTGGTGTCACTATCATGGTGGGCTGTGTGTGGTCTGTGTAGCTGTGGTGTCACTATCATGGTGGGCTGTGTGTGGTCTGTGGAGGTGTGGTGTCACTATCATGGTGGGCTGTGTGTGGTCTGTGGAGGTGTGGTGTTCTGCACTATCATGGTGGGCTGTGTGTGGTCTGTGGAGGTGTGGTGTCACTATCATGGTGGGCTGTGTGTGGTCTGTGGAGGTGTGGTGTCACTATCATGGTGGGCTGTGTGTGATCTGTGGAGGTGTGGTGTCACTATCATGGTGGGCTGTGTGTGGTCTGTGGAGGTGTGGTGTCACTATCATGGTGGGCTGTGTGTGATCTGTGGAGGTGTGGTGTCACTATCATGGTGGGCTGTGTGTGGTCTGTGGAGCTGTGGTGTCACTATCATGGTGGGCTGTGTGTCGTCTGTGGAGGTCCAGTATCTCTGTCCTGTGGATGCTTGGCTTCTGTCGTGGGAGCTCAACTGAATGTCTGCCATCTGCTGGCCAGCACTGGACCCATGGACGTCCTCCTGAGTTGTCTTTTCTCAATGTTGGGACTCCTTGGGCACTGTGTGGAGAGGAAGGGGGGGAGCAGGGGGGAGCAAGGACAGGGAGAGGTGCTGAGCAAGGCTCAGCTCGGCGCCCTGAGCCACCCCAGGCCAGGGCTCTGCCTCCCAAGAGAACAGGCAAAGAGAATAAGTCAGAACTAAAAAAAATATTTCATTTCATTCTGAATAAAAAACAGAACAGACAGAACTCTTGGAAATCCTGAAAACAAGGTCATTGCTACAGAAAATTTCACAGAAATCATTGTGCAGTGTGGGACGGAGGTGGCAGCCAGGCCACGAGCCACGTGGGGCGGATCCTGGAGCTGAGCATCCGCAACCGCCACCTCTGCTTCAGCATGCCGGGCAGGTCCTCCAGCCTCAGGACCGCTCCACACGGGAGCCCTTGCGACTCCGGGTGCCCCACATACCCCGCTTGGAATGATAATGATGGTAGAAGTTCCTCAGCCGCAGCCGCTCCACCTCCAGCCCTGCCTGCAGGACCCTGGGGTGGGGGAGGAGGAGCATCAGCTTGGCTGCCCACCCCCCAGCCCTGCAGGACCCTGGGGTGGGGGGAACGTCGGCTTGGCTGCCCCCCCAGCCCTGCAGGACCCTGGGGTGGGGGGAGGAACGTCGGCTTGGCTGCCCCCCCCCCCGGCCCTGCAGGATCCTGGGGTGGGAGGAACGTCGGCTTGGCTGCCCCCCCCCCGGCCCTGCAGGATCCTGGGGTGGGAGGAACTGGCTGCCCCCCCCAGCCCTGCAGGACCCTGGGGCTCAGGGCAGCATGCAGGAGGGGACTGTGGGGCTCTCTGGCCCTGCAGAGCTTGGTGGCGGGGGGAGCGGTCCCCGTGGCATGGGGTCAGCGCACTCGCCTGTCCAGCAGCTCCCAGTCCTCGCCCCCCCACTGGTCCCGGAACTCCTCTGTGTTCATGCCTCCCACGCGGTCAAAGTCCGATTTGTAGATCCCAAAGAGGCCAAAGCCATTTACCTCCCAGTAACCTGGTGAGGAGGGGCGGCTTTCAGATGGGGTGGGGGTGGGGGTCTCCGGAGACCTCAGGAAGGGGTGGGGCTGGCCAGGCGCACAGCACCGGGAGCCAGGACCGGGCTGTGAGCCCTGGGGCGCTGGCCTGGGGGTCCTTCGGGGACTTGCCGTGCGGGTTTCCCGGCGAGCTCCCGCAGCCCAGGCGCATGACCACGGGGGCGAAGGCCAGCTTGCCCTCCACGCAGTGCTTCCGGATGCTGTCCAGGATGTTGAGAGGGAAGTAGATGTGCAGGTCACAGAGGAAGACGATGCTGCTGGGGTCCTGGGGGCGCAGAGGTCTGAGTGGGCCGTCCCGCCCTCCCCGGCCCTCCCCACCCCTCCCCTGCCCCCGCCACAGACCTCCACCGCGTCCACTCCGGCCTGCAGCCCCGCCGAGCGCTCGAAGTTTCCGGTGCGTCGCAGGTACTGGTACCTGGGGGGATAAGGGAGCCGCTGGTGCCATGCTGGAGCCGGGCAGGGAAGCGCACCGCTGGTGCCACGCTGGAGCCGGGCAGGGGGGCCTGGCCGGAGGGAAGCGCACCGCTGGTGCCATGCTGGAGCCGGGCAGGGGGGCCTGGCCGGAGGGA